GTGTTGCTTATCAAAATAATTACAACTGCATAAAAACAGATACATTTAAGGGACGAGGCTGGCAGTGATGTGCAAGCACAAACCAAAAACACTATCTCATTAACACTTCATTATGAGACAAATCTAAAGAGATATTTTTGCATGTAACTATATGTTGTGAAAGGTGTGTTATGCTGTTGTTTGGAACCAGCACAAGCCTCAATGCAGTGACAAATTGTGTAACTGAAGTGCTGCTGTTCCACGTCCTTGACTGCCATTAAACATCTCTTTAATGTCTTATTGACTTAGAAGCCCATAAAACCATATTTTATGAGTGTGTGCAGAAGGAGCAAATTCAGACACACGTGATTTATGCCCAGCTGCCTTATGGCTACGATGATTACCTCGGCAACGCTTCACGTATGGTCATCACTCCACTCACGGATCGCTGCTAACTAGTAGGTGCAGTGTTTCCACCCTACAGCACAAACACTTTTGAAGAGAGCACTTTGTAATTACGATACTTCCTTGTAGCTTTCGTGTTGCAGTAAGTTCTGTCTTAAATATAAGAAATGTCGTACATGTTTTTTGTAGTCGGAATGCACGTTGAATACTTAGTATTGGTGCTATACACTCCTATCACGACTTGAAGCGTGTAGTTAGGGTTCGTTATCACGTAAGCATTGCCAACAGGACTCGGTTTGGGACATTGAGCCTACATCTGAGCGGTGCTCCAGAGGGCCCAGCTGAAACTGGCAAAACGGAGACCACCAAGGGCCTTGCCGAGGCAATGGCCAAGCAGTGCCTCATGTTTAACTGCTCCAATGGCCTCGATGACATCACCCTTGGCAAATTGGTCCACACCCGATACAGCTTTTCTTAGAGCCTAGTCTCCAAAAGACCTTTTGGCGTCATCTGGTCCAACACCAATGGAGACTAGGCTCTAAGAAAAGCTGTCTCGGGTGTGGACCAATCAACTTCAAGGACAGTGCATATCATTATCAGAGTTGTTTCCTTTTGTTTGCATTTTGACTGCTTGCGTTGTGGTTATTGCAAACATGACCCCTTTATAAAGGTGTCAGTTTTTGTACCAGTTGAAGGGGTAAAAACCTATTACTAAAAAACAACAACACCGCTTCTCCGTCATACGCGCAAATCACAGTAAAAAAAATCAATAATAAACAATAACAGATAAGCGAGATAAATAGATAGCAAATTATAATCGCAGGATAAAAATTATCCCTTTTTAAATATATAAGTTACCACTTCGGACATTGTAACTAAACATAGCCTTGTGTTCGTGGAATGATGTTAATTTAGTTTGTTTTTTTGACAAGTCACAATGATGGGTCTTATAAGGGGCATCCAAAGAAAATATTAGAGCGGAATGATGCAGTCCCACGTCTAATGCCATGCACCATGGCTTTCATTGACACGGTAATGTGATGATGGGCTTCAGATGAGTGATGGAAGCTTTTTCCAGATTATGTAACACACGCCAGACGTTCGCCACATCTTGCTCTACTGTGTCTGCAGACAATCCCTGAAGTGGCCCCTTCATCCATCACTGATGCACACACAAGAGGGACTTACCAATGAAATTCTAGACACTGAACACATGGTCGTCGACGACCTCACTGGTGCCTCCACAGACAGCCCAAGGGAGAGGAGGTGTGGAGGTATTTGTGCCAGAATGTGTTGGAGCCAAGATGCGTCCAAAGGAGACAACTCCTCCACATCGATCACATGCTGAATGTAACAGCAATGTCGCTGCACATATAACAGGCTACTCTTAGATATCTCATTATCTTGTTTTCGTGGAAATTAATAAAGAATTTAATGAAAGACATACGTTAAATTGAATATACTGTGGTAAAAATATAATTTTCATTGGAATATCAATAAACGAAATTCGTCAGCAATTCACTAGCAAGTGTAACATGGGACAGCTTAATAGGTTTCCCCCTTTTTAAATCCTTTATATTAAGTTCACTTGCTTGCTTTCTTGCGCGCTTACGACCGTGCAAATCTTTCGGTCGTTTTTTAACCCACTTCCCGTGATCCAATCGAGCTGACATTTTGCACACACTCGTTGTGCGTGACAATTTATTTTCGTGAAAATTTTTTTCCAAAATTTTACACTTTTTAGGAAATTTTTTTTTTCATATTTTATTTAAAATACCAATGTGATAAAAATGAAACTCTTACTCAAGAAAAACAGAAATTAATAATAAAATAAAACCGATGCCACGCATATAAAGGATTTATAGTGAAAAACTTTGTTTTTACGGGTTAATTTTTTTCTGCCAACAAAACAGGTGTTAAGATATTAAAAACACCAAACTGAAACCTTTTACAAGAAATCATGTTTGCATTAACTACATATACTTGTGGTCAGAATGCAAAAAAAAACATACTCTGATAGTATATGCATTGTCTTTGAAACTGATTGGCCCACATCAGAGACAGCTTTATTTCTCGCGGTGGCGAGATGTTAACTCCCTCGTCGGTTCGATCCCGACTGACGCCTGTCTATTTGGAGTTTGCAAGTCTATCTCCCCGTGGTCGTGTATTTTTCTCCGGGTCCTCCGGTTTCCCCCTCCACAATTATAAATATGCGTTTAGACTATTTAGCTGCGATACATTTCCACGTGATAAGCCACTTCATTGGGCTATCATGTGACCAGGTCGCTTCTGAAAAAGAGCGATGCAGCTCAGTGCGCCTTACCTCTAAAAGAAATAAAAGTTTAATTTAAAACATAGTTTAGTTTATAGCTTAGTTGTGCAGGAGATCTACGGTGTCAAAATCAGGTAAGGGCTATCCGTTAGAATGTACATTTAATTGCTCTTGACTGATGCTACTGTCGCCATACTGTGTTGTTTGAAAACAATCTTGGGCACTGGCATCCCTCCACACGCGAGGGAAGATCATGCATGCAACATATTGTGATATTTTCACAATGCTTTGAGTGGCCATGATCTCCCGCTTTTGCAAACAATCAACATGCCATGATTTGTCAATTGTCAATTGTACACCACACAATGCTGCGCTTTGGTTTAATGTGAATCTATGCGAACGAAAGTCATGCCAGGTGCAAGAGTCAATGTGACTTCCATGTTAACTCGCCAGCAGCCCTCATTCATTATTGTACAGAAGTTGGGTGTGGTGCCTTTAGTATGACCAGCGTACTGATCCACTCATTACAGCAATTAAAACCAACACTTACCTCGTGTAATCTATATTCGTCTGTGAATGCTATGTTTAATTGCTATCAACACGAGACATGGCAACACATGCACAAACAGTATATAAAGATGCAAAATTATGCAATGAAGTTAGAGCAATAAAAAAAAATCAAAAGGCGAGAGATGCATTCATAAAGGATGGAGATAACGGCAGCGATGCATTCACAGTTATGTTCATGAGGATAAACAGATGCATTCATAAGGTGTATGTGATGTGTCCGGAAGAGATAGATGATAGTTGATGCAATGCATTCATAAAATGATAGGAAAAGTAATATTGTAGAGAATACGTATTCAGGGGATAGCAGAACTACGCAGACAAAAATAGGTGATATATATTCAGAAGCGATATGAAGAACCAGGGTTACCACCTTTTAAATAAACCAAACACGGACACATTTCTCAGCCTAGGTTAATTAAAATTGCGCGGTAATATTTTATAATTATCAATAGCACCGGATCTCGGTACAAATGAATCCGTCACCTGAACACAGATACCAATCCCCAGATTACCCGGGACAAACCCGGATAGGTGGAAACCGTCTTCGAATAGCAAATATGTTACCGTGCTTAATTATGGTGAGATTTATTCAAAATGAAAAATATATACCTACAGGAGGAAATAGATGTACCATACCATTTATTCAATGAAAGATTTATGTTTTTTTTCAATATAAGAATGCTTGCAGATGACATGTACTGTATGCGGGATAGGTAGATGTATTAAGATTACAGTAAATAAATGAACAAAAAAATACAGAGATACAAATGTGTACTCAACCGATGCAAAATATTTACCCCAAATACCCTGACCCCCACTGCATTTACTACAAAGGTCACGTTCGGAGCGAGATAGTCACTTCATATCACCTAAAGGTAAGTCTTTATAGAGCCGAACTCGCCATCCACGTTGACATGGGGATGAACTATGGAGCACAGAACCTCTGTGGAGAGCACCGGGGAGGTTAGTTCCGTAATCCGTGAACACAAATGTCACGTGGTGCCGCTCGTCACAAGAATTGGCCAACTCCGTGAATCCGTGAAAACAGTGTATTGCAGGGGAAGTGCATAAACATGGAGAGCGGCTTCATTATTCAGCAAAAAAATCGCAGATTGAGGTTCAAATTGTCTTCAAGACCCAAAAGTAGCAAACCTGCACTATGCATCTAAATTAAAGGATGTTTGACATTTTATACTTGCGATCAAAGTAAAAAAATATTTAATTTGCTACTCAGATCACACAAATGCATCTAGTATTTGCTGCTGGAAAACCCACGAGTTTTTTTTGGCAAAACATTTGCATTGCACCAAAGATGCAAGTAGCCTCTTTGCCATGAGCAGAAAAATTCTCAAATCGCAACATGATAAAATATAATCCAAGGACACCACCGATGTGGTGTGCTATAGATTCCTGGCAGAATTTGAATTTGCCGGTTCCCGAGATTCCAGATCAGTGGTGCCGCAGGTTTTAAGTCTCGAACTGGGGGTGGTAAACTGCGAACTATTGATGTTTTGCTTAGGTGAATTCAAAGATGCTGGAGGCTTGGTTTAAGTGGGCCCAACGATGACTCACGATTTAGAGTTTTGACAGACCTGCATTATAGGCCTGTAAAAACTCATAAAATTGATCAATTTTAATCAAAATACACCAATATAACAAATTAAAATCGAGTGAAATATTTCAGAATTCCTTGTGTGCAATATTAACATGATATTAATTTAAGCTCATAATTCATCTGAGGAGTGAAAACCATACTTGTTCAGCAACAAACGGATACTTTGAGATATTTTATTGCAAAATGAAAGAATTTCACGTTAACCTTCACAGCACACAAATTTCAGTTGGTTGATGTTTTTGTGCAAGGCAGTAAGCTGTAACAAAAGCCATGAAATCATATCGTGCCAAAATTATAAACATTTAAATATAAATTCACCAGCAGGAAATCCGTTGACATTAAACTTCCCTCCAGCCCTGATTTTCAACCACAGATTTATTGTTGAGACTATTGTAAAAAGAGTGGGGCATGCCTAGTTAAATAATTGGGTTAAACATATTTAGGGAATTTTTACCATGTGTGCATCACATTTTAAATGACACCGTTTATTAAAATTGGTCAAGGACTTCTCTGGACAAACACAGATACATCCAGATTGTGGATGACAGCTGAACGACAGAATCACACATTTGTTTTTAAGACAGGTGTGATTCGAAGTGAAACCAGTTGCAATTTGTGCAGACAATTGGTGTTTCCACCCTTCTTGTTCCTTAGGCCATATTCTTTGCCCTGAGCTTGGACAGAAGAATTTCATTTTTGCGACACTCCTGCAAAGATACAGGCCAATACACATATTAGAGTATGCAACTCAGCCACTTTCATCTCAATATCTAGATCAAGCAATGTAACTGCAATGACCCAAAAAGCCATTGTCAAGTTGTCTTCGTCACGTGCACTAAAAGTATTCTGAGCAGTTGTGAGGAGTAAATACATTTCATGTGAAAACATTTAATCGTGTTATAATGTAATTTTTTATTCATTGGGATTTATTATAAGCATCATGACTCAACGCAACATTTCACACAATTAACCTTTCTGAAAGTATGCTTCCAAATGTTTGAAAGTAATTACTAACAAAGTACTGTTATTTGATTTTTTTTACATGTAAGCTTTCTAAATAAGATGTTTGAAACTCCATTTGCCTGGGATTATAAATGACTATTAAGAAGTACTCCCAATAAATATAAAAATGAATCTAACCTCTTTGAAGTCCTTCACGGTTTTGAAATAAAGGCGTTGTTTGTCCAGGAGATCAAGATGTTCATCATTAAGTTGGTCCCTTCTCATCTTATTCTCCTGACGTTTCTTTTCCACCTGCAGGTCAATGACATGGACCATTTGAAGTTTACATAAAGGTACACGAGTATAACCAACAGACACTTATATATAAATGTGCAATTAAATCAGTGTAGCAATAAAAAAGTATACCATCTTGTGACCTATATGTCCACTTATATTTTGTAAGCATTGCCAAAGGGAAATCCTCTTATCGGCATATAATACCTACCCTTGCACACAGGGAATATCTGCAATTATATGCATAATTGCAGATATTTGTACAATTTTATATAAAACCACATCAATCACAATGAATTACAAATACATGAGGATGTATGCAGAAAATATGCAATAAAAATATATGCAAGGAAGTAACTATTTTAATGATACCTTGCACATGTGAAAAAGCAATGAAGCTTATCCAGCGGAAAATTACAGGGATTTTTCTTCCAAAGAACATTTTCACTCGCTAACCTTTACACGGCTTTGCTTGATCCCCTCCACAATCTGCTCCAGCTGTTTCAGAAACTGCTCTCTGCCACCTTGTGAAGCCATGGCCCTTTGGAAATCACAATGCACAGGGAGCTTTCTTACAATTGAGATAAAAATGACGACACCAACTGTCCAGCTATTCCAAATGACTTAGCGACATTGTTTCTCTACGAGCTGAAACCTGACATAGATTGAAAACTATTCTCTTGGCTCCAATCCTGATGCAAGATAAGTCTAATTACGTAGTTTTCAAGTATTATCATCAGTGTTTTGTCCTGGCTAAAGTAAAGCTGATGTTCTCTCAAGACATCGGTTGATCTGTCAGTTATATTAAGTAGAGCCAAATGTGGTTAATATGTTTTGCATGAGGGTTGTGGATGCAGTATTAGAAAATAAGTGTCATTATTAAAGTTATATATTTTTTAACAATACATGGTATAACCAATCACCTATAACATACTTACTGCTGGAAGTTGTCATGGATGGAATTCAGCAAATTAACCTAAGAGACAGTAAAATGTGTTATGTTCATTTTACGAATAGGCAACTCAATTAAATATAAAACAATTAAATACTCCTGTACATTTTCCATCTTATTAATAATTTGGCTTTTTGGGTTTAGTTTTTTGTCCTTCCCTCACACCTTTGATTAGCACGGTTGGCTACGTACGGTGCGAAATAAGTGCAACATACATTAATGATTATCTGCAATAAACAAGTGAGGCACATTACACAATATTTTTGTTACAATAATCAATACCATCAACACATTTAGTTGGAAAGGTCCTTCCAGTAAAAAAGTGGATGCCAACTGTGCCAATTATGTTAAACTATACAAACAAAAAAGTGTTGATTCCTTTTAATTCAGTACTGGAAAAATAACCTTGTTGTAATTACTCACATTTCCATGCACAAACTAATATTCTGAATAAACCCGATCAAAGGTATTACTTATAGTTGATACACTTTTTTTCAAAATAACATAGCATACCTCTTTTTCCAGATACAGCTTCTTGTCATCCAGCGTGTTGTACAAAGTATAAAATTGCTTTGTCTCTTTATGGGTGGCAGCCACTACACATCAGAGAAAATGTGGATTTCATATACTCCAGACCACAATACAGCACGGGATATTATTAACACTTCGGTAAATGTTATAAAATAATGAAGCTCACGTGAATGCTCTTCTTCAGCACCAATGCATACACGTTTGCATAAAACTACACTGGAAATTGTTAAAATAAAAAACATTCCAAAAAGAGGCAAGTTATCATCGCCGTTTCGTGCAAGTGTCGCCGATGTTTTATCGCAAAATTGGTTGAGAGTTCAGGTATCTTCAGTCAAACCTAATGTGGTTAATGCTTCACAATCTTTAACACAGGAGGGTGAAGTACGTATTGTTTTGTAGGTGCCTGCAAATGCTTCTGTTCTCTTTGTTATTATATTTCATGACGATTATTTCTTCCTACCCTGGCTGTAGAGCTCGACAAAGCGACGCTGGTACTGAGTCAGCTCAGCCCGGCTGGGGACTTCATCAATCTTGCGCTGCAAGATGGCAATCTCTCGGTTTCTCCTCCCCTAACAAAAAAAAACACACCAAAATCAAGCAGAAGAAATTATATGTTTTGTATAATCACGATGCATTCTACGAGTAAACCATTGTTGTGTTTAGCGAGTGCAATTTTATCCATTTGTGCTTTGTTTCAACAGTTTGTGTTACTTGCCAAGAGCATGCGTATCTTCTGCAGTTTGTCGATATCCGTGCGGTATTGCTTTTCAATCAACTGGTCTTGTTCCTAAAAAAAGTTATTGTTTAATTATAAAGTACTAATATGATTGGATTGGCATACACGTATGGTTTCAGAATATCTGTACTCAATTTGCTATGCATCTATGTATAAGTAATGTGATTCAATGTAAAGTTATATTTAAATGAACACTATAAATTATATATTGAACAATACATAAATTATAAATTAAAATATTTAAATCACTTATGTACTTTCTATGCTTTTGCATTAGTGTTCATGGTATTTAAATAAAACATTATCATCGATTTAAATAACTGAAAGTGATTAAATTCCATTTTTCTAAATGCAAAGCACAGGCTCAGCAGTTTATAAAGTATCTTCTTTTTTTTTATGAGGCCAATTTATTTATGCAAATGCGGATCATCTCCTTACAGCCTCTTCTCCAGTCGTATTGTTGGTCTGAAGCTTTAACTCTTCTATGCTGCTCTGTAGACGTGTCAATTCTTCCTATAAAAAACATACATTCAATGTTATTTACAAACACGTAGTAAATGTGAATCATGCAAAACAATACAATGAAGAATTACATGTCACCTTGCAGTGAGCACGGAACTCGTGCTCTTGACTCTTGAGGCTTTCATTCATAGCCACCAGGGCTCTCAGCTTCTGCAAGACACTGGAGCAATTGTGGAATTAGTATTAATACATCAACAGAAATTACTTTCCTATAGTTCCTAACAATGTAATATTACAACACAATGGTGCTGTCCCTCAATGTCTGAGTGAATTATGCCAAAATGGGACTGTTTAACTTGAGACACCCTTTAATTTCCATAAGGAGAAATGTGCTTCATGAAAATATATATTTTTTATTTAGAATGGTTTATTTACGTGCAAGATGCAAGATGTTCTTAATATATATTGTATGACACAATATAAACAGTCCAAGGGAAATTAGATGCATCCACAATGCATATATATGTTTAAACAGTGAGATCTACAGAATATCATCATATAAATGATCAAGTTCTTAAATCTTGACTTAAAGCTTTCATGACTGCAGGAATTCATACTCTCTGGGTCTTTCGGTAAAGTCTCCTTCCTGAGAATCTCTCCCTGCTTCTGAAAGACCCAAAGAGTATCAAGTTCTTATTGAAAAAAAGAAAATGCAAAACTATTATTGAAAAATACATACACAGTAACTATGGAAGCTCAGAAATATTTAACAAACTCTTACATGATTCTGAATGGTACAATCAATAAAACATTTGCAAAAGTGGATGTTATGAATCACATTTATTTGTGTATATTTAAGCATATGTTTATGCTTTTAAAAATGATGGTAGAAAAGGCACACATTAATCCATGCTGGGAAGAATAATGTGCAGGGTAGCAAAGTAAAGTCTAGTCTCATTTTAATACAACTAGATATGAATCATGTACACATGTATTTAGTACAACTATACATGGATAATGTACACATGTATTTGGTAGGCTTTCTTACGCTGAATCAGCCTGGCTCTCCATAGAATCCAACTGTCCCATCTCCTTCCTGAGACTATCTCCCTGCTTCTCGACCTGGAAAACACACACTTAAATCTGTGCAACATCCTTCACATGAACACACCTGTATTGCTATGTTCAAAGAAAAAGTATTACCATGCAATAACATGCCATTATGAGTCTGAGTAATTATAAATCATGGGAATGGAGACATTTTTTTACAATTGTCTAAAGCTAAGGTTACACGTGCTGTAATACAATACAATAACATAGTGAACTTGAACATGTCTAAAAATGGTGAGCTTCAATTGCACGCGTACCTCCATAAGCTTCTCTTTCGCAGCTTCAAAGGCAACTTTCAACTCAGTATGCTTGGCCTTTATCTGTAACACACATGCGAGCTGATTAGAATTTTCAAGTGGGAATACAGAAGAAAACAACACTATCGTCAACATACATATGTATATACAATTTCCTTAGAGCTCTTTTTATACAATGATTTAGTCATAAAATATAACTTTTTAAGTATTTTTCATGCCCCAGCCCCAATTTTGAAAAAGAGGTTTTGCGGAAAGATAAAAATAGTCTGCATGTGTAGCTAAACAAGTGTTACCTCCTCCAGCTGTAGTTCCTTCTGAGAAATCTGCTTGCCAAGCGAAACAACCAAGCGTTTGTGCTGCTGTACTGGACCAAGCCTCTCTGTCTTCTCTTCGCCTGCCAGCTCTGATTGCTGAAAAGAGAATTCAGAGTGTTAATCAGTATTCCAAGGAAGATGTAAAAATGTTATAACCACGATAATGAAATTAAGCCATAGCTCACAGAACGTATAGTAGAATCAAGTCTTGCATGTTTATACGATGGTTTCAACTATGAAAAGTAGCTTATACTTAAGGTAAAAAAACCTACGAATTCCTGCAATTTAATAGAACCAACTTAAAAAATGTGATCGGGAAAAAGTTTGAAAGTAGCTTAATACAGCAATTGCTTTGTGATACATGTTGATATTTTACAACTAAATTGTCTCAAATTAAGTGTAGTAATTCAGGTGTAATTTTGACAATGTATGGTAAAGATATCATTAAAATGAAATCATGTAAATGGAAATATTTGAACCCTTAAAAGAAATCAGAACTGTCAATTTGTTTTTTTTTCAAATCATGTTTTGATATGAAAATTAAAGTCCAAAATAAATACCTTTTCTGCATATTCTGAAGCAATCTGTTTGATCTCCTCTGACTGAAGACCAACAATTTGACCAACTGTGCTGGCTGTTAAACGCCCCTGAAACAAAAAATACAACGTAATGGTCATTTCACAATACTAAAATAATAAGCATAGCAAGTGAAATAAGGGTACCAAGTAGGCAAATGTGCTTAAAGTTAATATATTGCAATATATATTTATATGTGAATGTAGTTTAATATTTCGAAATACATACTTCCTCTGTTGCCATGGCAGCCATGCTGCTCATCAGAGTCTTGATGCGAATCTGCAAAAATAAAACAAAGCTGACCAAATCAATATTTAGTGGTTTTCAGTATGTATGATTATTGTACACACTAAAAAACACAAATAATTGGCCAGAAAATGTTTTTCAATCACCAAAATTTACCATTTGATAAACTGCCACTCAAACTGCATAAAACATGATTGTAACAGCTTCATGTTTTTTTTTAAATACCGATGGATTATTTAAATCTCTAAATAGGACTTACCTCATCAGCAGCCTGCAGCTCCTCTTCCTCAGTTGTCTGTGCTTTCCCTACTGCTGCGGCACCTGGCACAGATTTTTTCCGGTCATCCACCTAAAGCACACAAGGCACATGCTGTTCATAACTACACTTAATTCACATTTGCATTGCTTGACCTAACCATAATGCATTTTAAATGTCATACTTCCCTTGTAAATATGCAACAGCAGTTGTAAAAGTCATAAATACTGACAATTATAAAAATGTATATGTGAATGTTTAGTATGTGTTGGTCTTCAGTCAGAGTGTATATATTAATTATATAATTCAGACAGTGGCAACTACAGACATACAAAAACAATACACTCACCTTCTCATTCTTGTTTTGAATAAAGCAATACCTCCTGCAAAACGGACAAAGGGTGGGGCCTGGTTAAAGTAACCACTGAAAAAAAGCGTTTCGGATGAAAGCGCACAATCAATTATGACTAAAATGACAATTATTGAATTACAGCTTTAATTACGTGTTACCTGTACATTTTATATTAATGATCTAGTGCGCTCAATACATTTTTATTATGAAGTAATTATATTCATTTAATCTTGCTTTATTTAATGATGTACCTATATGCTCACTCACTAATTACCTGCCATACTCTAGAAGCGTAGACTGCACACGTGACTCTTCATCCAGAAGAGAGTCTGTTCCAACTTGTCGCCGGTATCGTCTCTGGGGTTTGTATTCCTCCTGTGGATATCGGTGAGAAGGTTAAAAAGGGAGTGCAAAGTGAAGTAGCTTTGTGAAGCATTTCACAATACACTCATGTAAAATTATGACATGTTATCACTGCGTACAGTGAGATACTGCATGCAGAAACTTACAGCAGCAGCTAGCAAAGCCATGGTCGCCTTTCCCTTCCGCTCCAAAAATTCTTCATCCTGACAAAAAAATGCAAAAAATATATTATTTTTCAAAACTTCACATGCATGTTCTAGAACGCTTAAATGTAATTCACAATTGATGAAATTCTTGCCTCTGGAAGTCTGCGGCTCTTGTTAAACTGGGAGATGGAGAAAGCCCTAATGTGGTCGCCCGTTTCCTCTCGTGTCTCTATGGCCCTCTTCACCAACCACTTAAAAACAAACATTTCATTGTGTTTTTATACAGTTTGTATAGATTCATGTAAAACTATAGAATGTGTTTCATATACAAAATTAGACATTTATTATAGAAGGCACTTATGTTTTGGAAAAATATTAGTGGCAGAATGCGAAGTGTTACAATCTTGTTAAAGTTACCTGGATAACAGGGAATATGTGTATGAAGTCTAAACCCTGGATTTGATGGGGTTCAATCCGATGAGGACACTTCATGCTCGGCAAAACAGACACTATCTTCTCAGTCAAGGCTCTGTGAAGAAAATACACAGAAGCAGCAGTAGCATTCAACTAGTAAAACTGTCTCATGGCAAATTACTAAAAAATCTCATTTGTACAAACAGATGAATAACAAGGATGAATATTTTTCGATTTAAAGCTTTCGTGACTGCAGGGATTCATCTTCTTGGTTCTTTCGGTAAAGTGACTTTACCGAAAGAACCAAGAAGAAGGATGAATATCATTTATGGAACTCATTTACACGTATTACATCAATAGCCTGACATTCACGTTTTAAATCTGGTTATGCTTTTCCAAACCTCACATCTTTTGGCCGATGGTGGAGTTTTCCTGGAAGAGCAAGTCAACATCAATGTCAACACTACACGTAGTGATGCACCATGTCATTCCTCCAACCACCTACAAACACACATCAACAACTTTAATGAAAGCACGTTTATTTAACGGTGGCTTCAATAGTTAACCAAACATACATATTGCAGTGAGACATTTTTTGGGCGATAAACTATATTGTTTGTCAATTGTTTCTAACAGTTAAGTACTCTCAAAGCAAAAATACATAACTGGGTCTTGCATTTAAGGTTTTTTTCAGGTCTCTATAATACAATAAGCTAAATTAACAAAGGTCTATGCATTCATTAAAACATGCACACGCCGCTCCGCATATTAATCAGAAATAAAAAAAACCCAGCAGCATTACACTGACATTTTGCACATCTAAGAATGCTTTCAATATGCAAAAATAGGCAACATAAATTCCACCTTATCGAAAGATGAGAGCCCCTTGATGCGAGCACGGAAGTAGCCAGCAGCAACTAACAGCTCAAGGATCTCTGATAGTTTGACGCCTTGCTCTTCATCCTCTCGCGTCTCCACCTACACACGGTAATGCACTTTAATCGTTAGTGTAACCACAAACACAACAATGTACCTAACTGAACAGTCATCATTGTTGCTGAACAGAAGGGTGGCTCATTCCATTGAAACAAATGCTGTTGCAATGCCCAAAAACCCCTTGGTGGTACATATCTCAATTAGGTATTGTGCTAGTGTTGAAAACTCCACGTTCCTATGGCGGGGAGCGGTGTGACTGTAAGTCTAACCAAAGGACAACCAACTAATCATGACAGACACTACAGTGATTATTCCAGCAGGTGGTGCTGTTGTTTCCAACCCCAGACGAAAAGACGATGGGCCAAGGCTACTCTAACACGATTCGCTGCTGTTCTACCAGGAGAGCAGCAAAACGAGCGAATATTATAAACCAAATATATTTCGTTTGTGTATGTCCGTGTAAGTCGGTCATCTCTCTTCGGTTAGGAGTCGTGAAAATATCTGCACGGTTCAGAATCTCACTTCCTCCTTCTCGCTATATGCTGTACATACACTCTACCCACTGTGCGGTGAATATCTCCATTGTGTATCTGCGTGCAGTGGTACTGTACATCCTTCACTGTCACTGTGTACCTAGGCATCCGTTTCTCGTACTGTATACCCATCTATATGTACGGTATAGACTATATTAGAACCATATTTACATGGGTGCATATCTGCGCCTCTCTGTAACGCCCGTGCGTGTTTCTGTGCACAATGTGTGCCTATTTCTCTGCATACCCCTCCGTGTCTGGATCCCACTTGATTTCCTCACTCCTCCCTCTCCGTGTAAACCATCTCTGTGCGAGTTCCACACCGTCTCGTCTCTCTCGCCACGTTTCTCCGTGTGCCTGGCCCCCTAAGTGCCTGCCCCCCTAAGTGCCCGGCCCCCCTAAGTGCCCGGCCCCCTAAGTGCCTGGCCCCCTAAGTGCCTGCCCCCCTAAGTGCCCGGCCCCCCTAAGTGCCTGGCCCCCTAAGTGCCTGCCCCCCTAAGTGCCCGGCCCCCCTAAGTGCCTGGCCCCCTAAGTGCCTGCCCCCCTAAGTGCCCGGCCCCCCTAAGTGCCTGGCCCCCTAAGTGCCTGCCCCCCTAAGTGCCCGGCCCCCCTAAGTGCCCGGCCCCCCTAAGTGCCTGGCCCCCTAAGTGCCTGCCCCCCTAAGTGCCCGGCCCCCCTAAGTGCCCGGCCCCCCTAAGTGCCCGGCCCCCTAAGTGCCCGGCCCCCCTAAGTGTCTGTCCCCCTAAGTGCCCGGCCCCCCTAAGTGCCTGCCCCCCTAACCGACCGTGCTCATCGCACTTCCGATGAGCACGGTCGGCAACGTACGGTGCGAAAGAAGTTCCGCACGCGTAATTACTGTACACACAGCTGCCCCCCCACCCCCCCCCCCAGCCGTCTCTGTACCGCGCACTGCGCAGGGGGTACAGACTCCAGAGCCGATGGCTCTCACAGGATCTCAGGGCGATACAAAATATAAATAAAAACTTAATTTTTTTTAAAACACCCCCCCCCACCCTTCACTGCCACCTCCGTGTACGCTTCTACCCATGACCTCTCGCTCTCTCAGTACACGTGTGGTGCGCGTGTACATCTCGCCGCCGCCGTGTGTGTGTGTGTCTCGCCTCGATGAGACGCCCGTCCTGGTCGTACTGCGCCGCCGCCGCCGCCGCCACTCTCGACCCCGCACGCGATCGCTGCGGTGCAGCCGCCGCCATCGCAGTAGCTCTGCTCACGTGACCGCCGCTCCGCCCACGTGACCACCACCACCACCACTCTCCACGTGACCACCACCACTACCCCTCTACACGTGACCACTACCACCACCCCTCTCCACGTGACCACCGCTCCGCCCACGTGACCACCACCACCACCACTCTCCACGTGACCACCACCACCACCCCTCTCCACGTGACCACCACCACCCCTCTCCACGTGACCACCACCACCCCTCTCCACGTGACCACCACCACCACCCCTCTCCACGTGACCACCACCACCACCCCTCTCCACGTGACCACCACCACCACCCCTCTCCACGTGACCACCACCACCCCTCTCCACGTGACCACCACCACCACCCCTCTCCACATGACCACCACCCCTCTCCACGTGACCACCACCACCACCCCTCTCCACGTGACCACCACCCCTCTCCACGTGACCACCGCCACCCCTCTCCACGTGACCACCACCACCCCTCTCCACGTGACCACCAAAGACAGACTTGGAGGGGCGAGTGCTGTTAGCGAGCGGCGCCTGTGGAGGCCACTGGCACACGAGGGGGTGGTGGGGTGGCCACCAGTCCGCCCGGGCCGCCTTTGTCTCCCCAGTGGCGATGTTTAACTATAACACCGCACCAGGTTACTCATTTGACAGCGGAGTTCGACCTAGGGGAGGCCCACGACCGATACAGATAACAATGTGTAACAAAAACATTGTTCCTGGGTAGTATTATTTTCTAATTGCTTATGCCTCAAAAGTATAGAAAATGGCTATTATTCCCCACAAACTTTGCTTTTGTGACCAGGACAGTTATATTTTGAAATGTACCTATTTTCAATGATAAAACCTGTGCATTTGTGTCATTCTTTCATATAAAGTCCTGGTCACAAAAGCAAAGTTTGTGGGGAATAATAGCCATTTTCTATACTTTAAAGGCATAAGCAATTAGAAAATAACACCTAGGGGCCGTCCATAAACGACGTCACTCACCTAGGGGGGGGGGGGGGTCAGACATTTGTGACGATGTGTGACGAGGGGGGGGGGGTGAGAAATGTGACGTCACATCAAAATGCGCAACTTTAAATAAATATAGACAACACGTTCTACTTAATTAAATAGACTTTTAAATAAATGTTTTCTCCTACAACATCAGAGTGCAGAAGCACATTAAATACGCACTACAATGACAGCAGTTTAAAGCGATTTGAAGCATGTTTTATTTGGGGGGGGGGGGGCAGAGCTTTGTGACGTCATATTTGAGGGAGGGGTCTGACTTTGTGACGCCGTGTGACGAGTGGGACGGGTCAAAAATCGTCCAAAATCGCATGACGTCATTTATGGACGGCCCCTTACTACCCAGGAACAAAAAAATCATGTTCCACAGTGTAATCGTCACCGGGTTGTTGGCCGTGAGCGGGGAATCGAACTCGAGTCGACGAGTTCGTAGCGCAGAGCGAAGCGCTCATCGCTGCATCGCCGCTCTCCACGTGACAGCCGCTAAGCTCACGTGACCCCCCACCACTCTCCACGTGACCGCCGTGAATCCAGAATATTTTTTTATACTGCAGGAGGAATCCGATGAGCTATAAAGCTCTTTTGTCCCTCGGATTGCACAGAAGAGGTGGGTCAGAACGTTTACAACCACAGGCAATTAAAAAAACTACAGAAGTGCAAAGTATAGGAAAGGTAAACGAGTCGGTTAAAATATATACACAAATAAAACGAAACTATTTGTTTTATTTTGCCAGGTAAATACAACCGAGCTACTAACTTCTTTTGCAGAAGCGATCTGGACACAAACGACAGCTTAACGCAGCGGTCGGGAACCTATGGCTTGCGAGCCATATATGGCTCTTCCAGTGACGGCATATGGCTCCCAGACAATTTTGAGTTGAAAAAAAATAATAATAAAAAAACTAAAAATCCGTTTGGAACTGATTTTAAAATACTTGTGATATTGTTTAATAATACTGTGTCATTTTAAAGTAAACAGAAATTAGTTTTGAAGATAAATTTCACGGGTCACGCCTGCACGAAGCTCAACCTCACCACGTATGAACCAGACTACAAGGCCATCAGCAAAAACCATGCAGCACCAGAAGTCGCATTAAAAGTAAGACATTGAATTTATTAAACGTTAAAAATACTATATGGCTCTCAATGAAATATATTTAGAAATATTTGGCTTTTATGGCTCTCCCAGTCAAAAAGGTTCCAGACCCCTGGCTTAACGGAGTGGCTTATCACGTGGGTTAGTACGTCATGGTCACGTGAGCACCACACGCCGTAGGGGCAGCTGGCTCGCTCACGTGACCCGCCACCCCCCTCCCAGCCACGCCCCCCCCGGCGCGCGAGCTGCTCACGTGACTGCCGGCGTGCTACTCGGTGCCACGTGGGGGATGTGACAGTTTCCCTGTGACGTCATGCTTTCGGATTCAATCATTTAAACGCTGCTTGTAACCGCCAGCGAAACGTCCTCGATTTTTAAATGTTCTGGGTTTCATACCTGTCAAGCCCTTATCAGTGCCGACCTTATTACAGATAAACTCAAGACTTCATTGGTCAACCCGTGCCCTTATCAATCTCAACGTTCATCCTACAAAGTCCCATCACAAGGGAGAAACACAAACACATCGACAAAAATTATGTTACTAAACAAAAACCTTTTTTGTGTTACTTTTGATAATTGGTGTCAGTGATGCTACTTAACACATTCCTGCGGAGGGAGCTGATAGGAACGTTGGGTTGCTCGGTCAATGGCCAGGGTCAACAGCGGCGTGGTGTATTCCGCAAATATGGCCGACTGTGAGGGCGGGCACAAGCCGACGTGAGTAGGTTAAACGTTGAGTTTTATAAGGGCACCACGGGGTGACCAGCCCCTCCCCACCCAGCCCCACCCCTCCCACCCCCCACCCAGCCCCTCCCCACCCTCCCCTCCCCACCCAGCCCCTCCCTGCATGACGGACGGACACAATAATCCCCTGTAGGCTGGTGTAACCAGGAGGATCCTACCAGTATGCTTACTCTGTGATCTTGCATGCTGATGCTGCTTGCTTGATATGTGGATGCACACACTTATTTTGTAAATGTACAACACTAAACAGTAAATTATGAAGGGTTAAACAATACACTATCATTCATGTACATCCCAATCCTGTTTTTACAAATTTCAGGATCACATTTTTCGGCTGCTACGGGGATCGCTACTCTTCAGAGTAAAAAAAAAGCTGTCCCACAATTTATTTTTTTGGCCGTATGATGTCTTTGTTGCCCCTATTGAAAAGGATGTGCGCCGTTTCGACCTGAAACTCAATTTCCCTGTTCAAGAATACGGGTAAACCGTATGGGTTGACAGACACAGGGTTTACTCGCCAACACGTTTTTTGGGGTCCAACCGTTAGTTTCCAGGGAAGAGTAGAATGTTTCGAATTATTTTGAAAACATTCATTTTGTGTGCCTAATGTGCAATAATGTATAATTAATATCCAATACTTTTTACAAAGATAACGGATGCTGCTTTTCTGATTAGATTTGTTTCAAACGACCTATAAAAGTAGAACTGCATTTACCTTTCAATTTGTATTTAAACCAGCAAGGACAGCTGTGTGCACATCTGAACTTTAAATTCTAATTGCTCAAGATCGTGCATAAATGAGAATATCCACTCCTTACCTTGCAGGCTATTGTTCTTAAAATTAAGCTGTATATTGTGTGCTATCGCTGACATGAAAAAGTATTTGCATAGCTTTCAGTCAGCAGTTCCTATTGGAAGTCCACCATACACACGTGCATTTATAATTAATTTACGTTTCTAAAGAAGGTATCGAGATAACGATAGCTATGAAGAACACTTAGCTTAAATTCAGAGCTTGTTTTCATCGTGGCACAACATGAGTACATGGACCCTTATAAGCCAATCACTTTAAATTTATAATATTTTTGTAGCATTTTATATAAATAATGCATCACAAAAAAATAACAAATCATTGCATTACCTACAATAGTGCCAATTGCGATGTGACACAAAACATTGTGACCCGTGATAAATCCCACCAGCAGGTGGCAGCATGATCATATGTGTACGTCCCACAGGTGGAACATAAAATCAGGAATGTTTATACATGGAGGAATTGGATGAGCTATAACGCTCTTTTTCACACATGTCCAGTAGTGGACAAAACCACAACGTCCTCCATTCTTCTCTCCATAATTCTCAAACGACTCACCCAGTGTGTAATGCCACCCAGCAGACTCTAGGTTCTGGAGTCCCAATTGAAAAGCATTCCTTATATCTGGTACTTTAATGCAGCTTAAGTTATTACAATATTTGTAAAAGGCCTAAACAAATTCAAATGGGCAACTTTATATTGGATAATTACTACCTGAAAAGAATAAGTAAATATAACACGTTAATTTCTGTAAACAATACTATTTTACTACATAGTGTTTAGTTCAAAAAGTTTACAAACACACTGTGATGTTTGGCACAGTTTTTAATCAACTGGGAAAACACAACACTGAGGCAAAAATGAATGTGGCAATCATTTTAGAACATTGATGATGGAACTGGCCTAAAGCATAATGTGACACAGCAACATTAACACTGGTAACATTTAACACTTATTCACAATAACGAGTCCATTAAAGTGCTTATTAAAGTAACATATTTACAGGACACTGATAAAAATTCCAAGCAGTTCAAAGCATTCACGGGCTATGCATTTTATGGACCAAAGAATTGCTACAAACATCAGAAATGCAAGACAAACTCTCAGAATCCTGAACTCTATAGAGGACGTGCGCAAATTAATAAACAGGTGGAGGCTCTGCACAGCTTCATATGATTGTATATGTATTGTGTGTGTGTGTGTATAAGTTACGTAAAACTTTACCAGAAAGGTTTTCAAAGCAGAGCACTACACACTGTGATCGTACAGTACATTTGGTAAATTAAGCACAGATCTATTAAATAATTAATCGGAAATAAATTCACGTTTTACCCTGTGAATTGTCTGATTTTATACAGATCAGATGGATGTGTATCATGGAGACCTCTGGAA